CATTAGCATAACTTGTCTATCCTCCCCACTAATACCCTCCACTTATTACCAGCTGAAGCAGGTGTGAAAAATGTAACCAGGCAAAAACAATTCAATAGAAAGCCAGGCGGGGAGGGAGAAAAAAAAATGCAGAGTATCCAACTAGCTTATCTAACAACTTAAAACATTTCTAAAGATAACACATAAACTACAAACATACAAGTACTTAATACAGTGGCAAGTGTCTATCACACTACCAAACAGAAAAAAAAAAACTAGGTTCTGACCAAGCATAAACACAATGATAAAATATCATGCAATGGCTCAGACTCATAAAGAGACAATCAGAGATTATATGTTGCTTGAGACTGACAGTTCCTCTTCTTCTAGGCGAGGGCTATTCAACTGGCGTTAAAAAAAGTAAAGGACCCTTTACCACGCCTTCAGGCGTATAGGGCATACAGGGCTAGACCTATATTTTTTATAGACCAATCGGCACAAGATGGGTGATGTGGTCAGCATCACGGCGGCCGCCTCTACTTTCCAGGACTGCACCCGGTTCCCACTCAAGGCTGGGTCAACCTGGAAGCCAAGGTCATTTTTTTTTAAAAGTCTGGCTCCTTCAGGGAGCGAACCAACGACCCTCCGATCTACCTCGAGCGTCTAGCCGCTCCGCCACGGGGACTCCCTTCAATTGGCGTCCTGTGAGTAAAATCTGGCCGGTAGGCCTTGCAAGTGACCCACGGATCACTGCACATGAATACTGTATTAATGATCTTTCTACGCAGGGGCTTGGGGCTCTGGCCCGTGATGATATCCAGTTTCAACAGTTTGGCCCCTGAGTAAACTTCATTGGATATCCCTGTTCCTTGACCAGCTCAGGCCAAGTCGCCCTATCCTACACTATCATCACACACAGCTCACTACATGTCTTCCTAAATTTTTTATTGTTTCTAGTTCCATTCTTCATGGGTTTTTGTGTGTGTTGCTTGCCTGCCTTTATTTCTATGTCCTTTGGGTTCCGGTGTAAAGACACATTAGTTATTATTCTCAAGATTTCTCAAAGTGTGTCTTTTTCTTAACCCTCTTGATTTATTTGAGTTTGTTTAGTTTTTCACTCACAAAGCTCCACATAAGTGATTCTATAATGCCATATTATTCCCTCTACTTTGCAAATGATGCTTGCTTGTATTAGTAAATTACTTCATCTGTTCATGTTTTGGTCCTATAAAGCAGTAATGATTGATCATTAGAGCTGAATATTTGAGGTTTAGTGCTAGTTTAATTTTCATTTCCTGATAAGTGCTTATTGGATTTGTAAAGCTTTTTAGATTCTGAACAAATTGGCAACATTGCATATAAAGATCTGCATATGGAAATGGTACATTCTGCCAGAAATAGAGAGAAACATAGCTAGTCTAATATTTGGATAAATTAGTCTGCGCTTGATGGTTGATGCCAATTTCATGACTGTTTACTTTTGCAGACATTTTCTGGTCCCATTTTAAGGAAGGGTCAATCTAAAAACCCACAGCAGTTTTGAAAATCTGTCACAGTGGTGACCATAATGGTGCTGTTGATCATAGTGTTGCTGACAATGATGGTGTTGGTGATCAGGGTGTTGGTGATAATGATGGTGTTGGTGATCAGGGTGTTGGTGATAATGATGGTGTTAGTGATCAGGGTGTTGGTGATAATGATGGTGCTGTTGATCATAGTGTTGCTGACAATGATGGTGTAGGTGATCAGGGTGTTGGTGATAATGGTGATGGTAACCACATTGTTGGTGGAGACAATAATGATATTGTTGATCATAGTGTTGGTGATCATGGTATTGGTGACAATGATGGTGAAGTGTAGTCAACATGGTGCTAGTGACAATGATGGTATAGTGTAGTCAACATGGTGCTAGTGACAATGATGGTATAGTGCAGTCAACATGATGCTAGTGACAATGATGGTATAGTGTAGTCAACATGGTGTTGGTGACAATGATGGTATAGTGTAGTCAACATGGTGCTAGTGACAATGATGGTATAGTGTAATCAACATGGTGCTGGTGACAATGATGGTTTAGTGTAGTCAACATGGTGTTGGTGACAATGATGGTATAGTGTAGTCAACATGGTGTTGGTGACAATGATGGTATAGTGTAGTCAACATGGGGCTGGTGACAATGATGGTATAGTGTAGTCAACATGGTGCTGGTGACAATGATGGTATAGTGTAGTCAACATGATGCTAGTGACAATGATGGTATAGTGTAGTCAACATAGTGCTGGTGACAATGATGGTATAGTGTAGTCAACATGGTGTTGGTGACAATGATGGTATAGTGTAGTCAACATGGTGTTGGTGACAATGATGGTATAGTGTAGTCAACATGGTGTTGGTCATAATGATGGTGTAGTCAACATGGTGTTGGTGACAATGATGGTATAGTGTAGTCAACATGGTGTTGGTAATAATGATGGTGTAGTCAACATGGTGCTGGTGACAATGATGGTAGTGTAGTCAACATGGTGTTGGTGACAATGATGGTATAGTGCAGTCAACATAGTGCTGGTGACAATGATGGTATAGTGTAGACAACATGGTGTTGGTGACAATGATGGTATAGTGTAGTCAACATGGTGTTGGTGACAATGATGATGTAGTGTAGTCAACATGGTGTTGGTGACAATGATGATGTAGTGTAGTCAACATGGTGTTGGTGACAATGATGGTGTAGTCAACATGGTGTTGGTGACAATGATGATGTAGTGTAGTCAACATGGTGCTAGTGACAATGATGGTGTAGTCAACATGGTGTTGGTGACAATGATGGTGTAGTCAACATGGTGCTAGTGACAATGATGGTATAGTCAACATAGTGTTGGTGACAATGATGGTGTAGTCAACATGGTGCTAGTGACAATGATGGTGTAGTCAACATAGTGTTGGTGACAATGATGGTGTAGTCAACATGGTGTTGGTGACAATGATGATGTAGTGTAGTCAACATGGTGCTAGTGACAATGATGGTGTAGTCAACATGGTGTTGGTGACAATGATGGTGTAGTCAACATGGTGCTAGTGACAATGATGATGTAGTGTAGTCAACATGGTGCTAGTGACAATGATGGTGTAGTCAACATGGTGTTGGTGACAATGATGGTGTAGTCAACATGGTGCTAGTGACAATGATGGTATAGTCAACATAGTGTTGGTGACAATGATGGTGTAGTCAACATGGTGCTAGTGACAATGATGGTGTAGTCAACATAGTGTTGGTGACAATGATGGTGTAGTCAACATGGTGTTGGTGACAATGATGTTGTAGTGTAGTCAACATGGTGTTGGTGACAATGATGGTGTAGTCAACATGGTGTTGGTGACAATGATGATGTAGTGTAGTCAACATGGTGCTAGTGACAATGATGGTGTAGTCAACATGGTGTTGGTGACAATGATGGTATAGTGTAGACAACATGGTGTTGGTGACAATGATGGTATAGTGTAGTCAACATGGTGTTGGTGACAATGATGGTATAGTGTAGACAACATGGTGTTGGTGACAATGATGGTATAGTGTAGACAACATGGTGTTGGTGACAATGATGGTATAGTGTAGACAACATGGTGTTGGTGACAATGATGGTATAGTGTAGACAACATGGTGTTGGTGACAATGATGGTGTAGTGTAGACAACATGGTGTTGGTGACAATGATGGTGTAGTGTAGACAACATGGTGTTGGTGACAATGATGGTATAGTGTAGACAACATGGTGCTGGTGACAATGATGGTATAGTGTAGTCAACATGGTGCTAGTGACAATGATGGTGTAGTCAACATGGTGCTGGTGACAATGATGGTATAGTGTAGTCAACATGGTGCTGGTGACAATGATGGTATAGTGTAGTCAACATGATGCTAGTGACAATGATGGTATAGTGTAGTCAACATGGTGCTGGTGACAATGATGGTATAGTGTAGTCAACATGGTGCTGGTGACAATGATGGTATAGTGTAGTCAACATGGTGCTGGTGACAATGATGGTATAGTGTAGTCAACATGGTGCTAGTGACAATGATGGTATAGTGTAGTCAACATGGTGCTAGTGACAATGATGGTATAGTGTAGTCAACATGGTGCTAGTGACAATGATGATGTAGTGTAGTCAACATGGTGTTGGTGACAATGATGATGTAGTGTAGTCAACATGGTGTTGGTGACAATGATGGTATAGTGTAGTCAACATAGTGTTGGTGACAATGATGGTATAGTGTAGTCAACATGGTGTTGGTGACAATGATGGTGTAGTGTAGTCAACATGGTGCTGGTGACAATGATGGTATAGTGTAGTCAACATGGTGCTGGTGACAATGATGGTATAGTGTAGTCAACATAGTGTTGGTGACAATGATGGTATAGTGTAGTCAACATGGTGCTAGTGACAATGATGGTATAGTGTAGTCAACATGGTGCTGGTGACAATGATGGTATAGTGTAGTCAACATGGTGTTGGTGACAATGATGATGTAGTGTAGTCAACATGGTGCTAGTGACAATGATGGTATAGTCAACATGGTGTTGGTGAAAATGATAGTGTAGTCAACATGGTGTTGGTGACAATGATGGTGTAGTTAGCATGGTGTTGGTGATAATGATGGTGTTGGTCACAATGATGGCATTGTGATCACGGTAGAGGTGATTGTGATCATGACGCCAACTGTGTCAACAACAATAATTACAAGCCATGCCGCACAAGACAGGCAACCAATCTCAAACATAATACAAACTATACTGCACAAATATCACCACGCCAACATGCTTATGTACAATATAGTATCAGGGGCAGTTACTCAGTGACAAATACACAAGGAACACCAACTCAGTATAACGAGAGTTAGGGAAATAACTACACGAAACCACATCAGCCAATTATCACAACACACAGTGTGATTAGAAAGTCAGCATAAATGTATTTAGGTCAAGGCACATGTCCACTGCATCCAGGCATATGGTCAAAACTTACATTGCTTGCATCTGAACATCATTGTAATATGGCCCTCGTCGACCAAAAGGTGAACCGTAGCTTTGAAAACCCCTTCAAGTTAACAATGAGGAAACAGAAGAAAAACATACAGCAAGGAAGAGAAATGTCAATGTTTGTATCTTTGAAAAAAAGTAAAGTAAAGGTCCCTTTTCCACATCTTTTGGCATATTGGGTACATAAGGCTAGACCTACATCTTTATAGGTCAATTGGCACTTGGTGGGTGATGTCAGCATCACGCTTGCCGCCTTTACTTCCCATGAATGCACCTGGAACTCACACAAGACTGGGTCGACCTGGGAGTCAAAGACATTTTTTGAAAAAAAATTCCAGCTCCATCAGGGCGCCAACCCACGACCTTCGGATCTGCTAGCCGCCAACGTCAAGGTAATTCCCATTTGAATGAAGCCATTCCACAATTTATTTAAATCAACACAGGGTTAAAATTCAAACAATTTTTTTTTAATGAACAGTGAATATTCAATAAAAATCAGTGCTGTGACAAGATTTAAACAATGTATATTCTTCTTCTTTAGCATTCTCAGCCCTCAAATTTCTCAGTTCTCTGCTGTTTGTTTCTTTGATGGGTCTAAAACTGTGTCATAAAATTGTTATAAAAATTTATTAGCTTCTGTCTCTTTTACTCACACTCCAGGTTTTGCAGGTGTATAAGACAAGTTATCTTATCAGTGTTCTATATATTGTACTCCTTATGTTATGATCTCGACGCATGGTGTCCGCCTCGAGTGCTGGAGGTTCTGGGTTCAATCCCCGGTGGGGGCTGAGATTTTTTCACGTGGGCTTGGACTTCTAGTAACTCCCCCTGGTCTCTGGGTAGTAGGATCAGATGCCCGTGTGCATTGTTGCACACATAAAAAAATCCCTTGGTAGTTGAAAATTGAAAATAGTAGCCTAACTGCGGTGCTGAGCTTCTTCGGACTCAGATTTGAGTTAGAAAAAGAACGGAGCACATATAGGTTACCACCCGTGTGCCATGATGTTGGTCCGTTGTTACAAATTCAAACTTGTTATAAGACTGAGCATTTGATTTTAGCAAAAGCAGGGCATGGTATTCCCACTAGAAAAGGGGAGGGATTTTGAGATAAATATACACAACTTATAATAGTTGCAAAATGAGGTTTCATTGTATAGTAATAAAAATGTCCGCACTAACAATTGTATGCTTACAGGTAACAAAGAAACATAGAGAACTGGTCCCTCCGAAAAGGACATATGTATTTTCCAAACAATAATATAGTCAGAACATTGCTGTATAAACAGGCTCTAAAATACACACACACACATAATAACATAGCTTCTTGTGTATAATAAACAAAATATTTTTACCAGTGCCAAATGTGGACATTAGAAATAAAAGGGCATAGAAAATTGGAAACGGCAGAAATGAAAGGTCTACAACAAACAAACGCAGCCAGAATAGACGGAATCAAAAATTACAATATCAGGAAACAAGCTGGGATGAACCAGTGCTAAACTACACCAAGAGACAACAGATCAAACTGTCATAAGACTACCACAAGACAGTGCACATCACAGAGGGACCTGCCACATCACAGAGAGCCCTGCCTCATCACAGAGAGCCCTGTCACATCACAGAGGGACCTGCCACATCACAGAGAGCCCTGCCACATCACAGAGGGACCTGCCACATCACAGAGAGCCCTGCCACATCACATAGAGCTCTGCCAAATCACACAGAGCCCTGCCAAATCACACAGAGCTCTGCCACATCACACAGAGCCCTGCCACATCACACAGAACCCTGCCACATCACACAGAGCCCTGCTATATCACAGAGAGCTTTGCCACATAACAGAGGGACCTGCCACATCACACAGAGCCCTGCCACATCAGAGAGCCCTGCCACATCACACAGAGCCCTGCCACATCACACAGAGCCCTGCTACATCACAAAGAGCCCTGCCACATCACAGAGAGCCCTGCCACATCATAGAGGGACCTGTCACTCACACAACTGATGAAATATCTGAGACTGTATACCAGTATCTAAACAGCACACACTGCCTCTGACGTGCAAGAGGCAAGGAATCAAGTTTGCATGCAATTAAGCAAATCTGTAAAACAGATGTGCAGGCAAAACTCAAGTTCTGGAACAAGACTGTCCAAAAGTGGATGAACAAGCAAACTTTCCATCAGAGTTTACAGCCGATGAATGCTAAGAAGAAGACAGCACACACTAAAGCTTGAACCAGATGCCTCTTCAAAATATCAAAATGAAACACAGAACAGGACTAAAGAAGAGGAGGAAATAAATTAATTATAATAAACACAGCTTGTGTGGTTGGGATGTAATATAGAGCATCCAAATAAAACAGAAACCTCCCTGTGTGGGTTCAGGGGTCTCATTGTGGGGAAAACAAGGACAGACCCACTGCCTTCCCCAACGAGCATTTTGTAAGAGTCTGCTAATTGGGAGGTTCCTTCAAAGTCAGAGTACATCTGCCTGAGAAGCATGGAACCAACAGTTTGCACACAAATGAGTCAAACCTGCAAAACAGATGTGCATGCAACACTTATTTTCAGGAACAGGACTAGAGTACAGAAGTGGATAAACAACCAGAACTTTCCGCCAGAGTTTACAGCCAGTGAACACAAAGAAGAAGGAGAAGAACCATACATCCTTATGTAAAATGAACAAGTTGTAATACAACCAAGCGAATTTAAGGTTACCACACAAAGTACACATGTTTTTTAAAAAAATATTCATCGTAATAAATATCCAGCAAGACTGGGGTGACCGTATACAGTGTAAGGTGAAAATTTGTCCCTGATTTTCAAGGAAAGTCCCAGAATCAGTTTTATGTGTCGGATTACTTTTAACAGCTCAATATACTCTCAAAGGGTTGTCTCACGACAACATCCAGTAAAATGAAATAATGGTCAACAATTTTAAAAGCTTCTTTTACTCCTAAATGGTTGTGCCAAAGACCTCTACTACGGTATAAAGATGTGTGCAAGCCAGACATGAATGATACAGGTATTGAGGTGGACTCGTGGGAACAAAATACCATAAACCATGTTGTGTGGAGGGGGCAAATCCGACTGGGAATGAGAATGAATGAAGAAAAGGATGAGAGCTCGGCATCTGAGGAAAAAACCGACTAAACACAAATGTTGACAACAATAGTCATTCAATGCCATGCTAGCATTGTGGAAGACTTTTCTTAACGCGGGCGGGTCTTGCTAGTCACACTCGCCATCACCATGGGCTGTTTTGAGTTCCATGCCCCCTCATAACGCAATATAACACTATCGCCTGGAAAGATGGAGGGGTGCCAATCATCGGTGTCCCAAAACATTGAGGGAGGGGGGGGGGGGGGGGGGATTGTCACTCTAATGCAGAGCGCACGTATAAAAACATCCATTCTTATGAATAATTTTTAAAACATATTTATCAGAGCAATGGGTCACTCAGTTTTAACAATTATGTTTAGCACATATACACTGCTGTGTGCAATAAATAGAAAGTGAGATTGCAATGACCATGTAAAGCACAAAAACCATTTATTCTTACACATAATTAAGAATTATTCTGCTTGTTCCATAAGTTTCCATATACAGAAAACAAGAAAGGTATCACCAACATCATTACAAGCATAACTCCAGTCGTTTTATACGTGTTCTTCAGCACTGGAGTCATGAATAAGCATAGCTAGTTACGCTTCTTGTAATCACGCTGGTGGTACGTATATTGTTATTACGTATGGAAACCTACAAGATACCTGGTATTTACTGTAACAAACGGACATTTGAACTGGATTGGCTAAGTTAAAAAAAAACATTGAGCTATCAGAACCTGGACTGTTCTGGCATGGCCTCCAGAAAGAGTTTAAATAAGTTCAACCAAAAATGCAAACATCAAATTCTGAACAAAAGAAAAATGTATATAAACAATACACACATAAGGAACAAATACTTAATAAACAATGTTAACAAATCATGTACATAATATGAACAATATTGAGAAATTTAGCTCACACACATAAATATATAAAAACACCGAACAACAAAGTTAACTCTTTGAGTTCCAGGGGGTTTAGCATCACAGGCCCAACAGGTAGTCAAAAGAGATGTAAAATTGGTGCATCTTGCGCTCATTGGGCTTCTAGGTAGGAATCTATGAACGTATGATTTGCTTGAGACTCAAAGATTTAAAAACATTTACAAACTAAAAACAACTTTAGACAGCTAAACTGCTACAACCACATTAGACCAAACAAACTGTACATATGAGACATTATCAAACAAAACATAAGCCAAGAGCTTTATTACAAACATAATGGAAAGTACATTAGTAGGTGGGGCAGACTTAAACAAAGCAACTGTTAGGAAGCATGTACACACATTGTGTGGTCTAAAGGTACCATAGGCATTTAGACAAGCATCCCATCACCAGAGGAGAGAGCAGAAGCCATCGCACAGAGAAGGATTTTATGCTCATTGAACTGGCCATCACTGTCCTGACATCTGGGTACATGTGGATCACAAGCAGCTAAGTTTCTTTCTTTTTCTTTTAATCAACATGGTTCTTTCACTTTTTTTTTTTTTTTTATTTTCAAAAAAGCACAAGGGGTAATTTGTCCACACTTTCATTGATGTCAATGACTTTTTCTTCTCATAATCCATGCTGTGTGTCACTGATAGTCATGTCTAGCCACAAACTTTCTGCTCCTGAACTTTCAATCAATTCTGATACAGGTGATCTTCAATTCCATGCCAACCTGTCCAACATTTCTGTCTGTCTCCCTCTGCCTCTTTTCCCTAACATTTCCACCATCATGATGTACTCCAGTTTTCTCCTTCTCATAATCCATGCTGTGTGTCGCTGACAGTCACGTCTAGCCACAAACCTTCTGCTCCTGAACTTTCAATCAATTCTGATACAGGTGATCTTCAATTCTATGCCAAACTGTCCAGTATTTCCCTCTGCCTCTTTTCCCCAATATTTCCACCATCATGATGTACTCCAGTTTTCTTCTTCTCATAACATGATCAAAGAATATAGATTGTCTCCTTCTTACCTGGGCAACCAGCTCTCTTTGTGAGTCAGTTTCTCATCATTCATCTATAAACCCACATCTCCGCCACATCCAAATAATTTCTTACTAATCTTCAAACTGTCAATGGTTTACTCCCCTATCTCAGGATAGGATGTACATAGCTCTTGATAATTCTCTTTCTCATCTCAGTTGACAAAGAAATCTTGCTGTTATAACTGTAGTGGCCAAATGATTCAATGAACAACTATAGCCCTTGCAGACAGTATTTGCTGTCTTTCGAAGCAGTGGGATGCATGCCTGAATGCCTACAAAACTTCCTCTGATAACGACATAAAATTTCTTGGCTCCCAAAAGTTGCTTTGTTGAATTTCATCACACGTGTTAATATACCCTTCATGTTTTTTAATAAAGCCCTTGGGGTGAGTTTCATTGACCACGCCTAGTAATACACATTATAACTAAACAAACATCTATTAACTAAACATACTGACTTACCTAAATTTACGCAATGCAATGTCAGTTTTTGATAACCTGGAAAGGGTCTCCAGGACCTGAAACAAATATAGGGTATCATGCCAGAAAGGTAACGGAAATAGGGGTGACAGAAGGTATAACAGAAATAGGGGTGACATAAAGGTAATGGAAATAGGGGTGACATAAAGGTAATGGAAATAGGGGTGACAGAAGGTATAACAGAAATAGGGGTGACATAAAGGTAATGGAAATAGGGGTGACAGAAGGTATAACAGAAATAGGGGTGACATAAAGGTAATGGAAATAGGGGTGACAGAAGGTATAACAGAAATAAGGGTGACAGAAGGCATAACAGAAATAGGGGTGACAGAAGGTATAACAGAAAAAGGGGTGACATAAAGGTAATGGAAATAGAGGTGACAGCAGGTAAAACAGAAATAGGGGTGACAGAAAGGTAGTAGAAATAGAGGTGACAGAAAGGTAATGGAAATAGAGGTGACAGAAAGGTAACAGAAATAGGGGTGACAGAAAGGTAATGGAAATAGAGGTGACAGGGGTGCCGCTGATACAGGAATGACCACTCACAAGAAAAGCAAGTAGGAAACTTGGGATAGGAAAGACACACTGATAACACAGAACATCATGCCAATATGTTTTTGTATGTTAATGCAACGACCAGAATACAGTGGCTTAGTAGTCCGGGTGAGGGGTTGATTTTAATTAACATTGACTAGATGCAAATAATTCATACACCAAGAAACCAGAGGATAGTAGTGTCTATGGGGTACTGGATCAGAGATCCAGTGGAAAAGGGGGGGGGGGGGAGAGATGACTTAATCTTTCTCTATATTTCCCTTTCTCTTTCCATATCTCTCTCCCTCCCTTACTTTCTCTCCCCCCCCCCCCTCTCAAATGTGAACAGCATTAACACACAAATAATGAATTTATCTTTTCATGAAGGGTCTTTAATACTCTACACATAAACAATTCATATATCCGCCCACCCACATAAAGCTATGGAGTCTTTTTCATGACAGTAGGTGGCTTGTAGACAACAAAGAAAGAAGGAAGGAAGCAATGAAGCAAGGAATGAAGAAAGAAAGAAAGAAAGAAAGAAAGAAAGAAAGAAAGAAAAAGAAAGAAAGAAAGAAAGAAAGAAAGAAAGAAAGAAAGAAAGAAAGAAAGAAAGAAAGAAAGAAAGAAAGAAAGAAAGAAAGAAAGAAAGAAAGAAAGAAAAGCTCCAACCAAGATCATAACAACTCATGCAGAAACCAACAAACTTCAAAACCAACACCACGAAAACATAACCTATCATCCAGTGCTCACAAAGGAAGACTGTTGACACGTGATCTCACCTTCCTGAAATCTTTGACATCAAATAAATCATTAGGTTTAAACAAGTCTCCGTGGGCCAGGCCAAATGTACTGGTGCAGGTGGTTAAAAAGGCCCGGATGTTTTTCATGCACAAGAACTGCAGATGGAAATCAATTAGAAATTATTACTTTAATTCTTAATGAATGGATCAATCAAACAAGATGAATCTTCTTCTCTTCTTCTTCACTTCCTCTTTTACCGCTGTGGGTGTCGAGGGAGATATGAGGTTCTGTTTCTAGCTCTTCTGGCTGCCTCGACCATAGGCACATCGTGCTGTTGTAGAGTTTCTCTGATGTTATCCTTCCAACAAGATAAATGGAATCACTATATGTGGGACATACGCTATATAGACAAATGATGAGAATACCCTGGACAAATGACAAGAGTAATGAAGATGTCTTGAAAGAAACTGGCTCACGAAGAGAACTGATTAACCACATCAGCAAGAGACTATCTACATTCTTTGGTCATGTGATGAAAAGGAGAAAACTGGAGTACAACGTGACAGTAGGAAAGTTGGAGGGGAGGGGAGGTAGAGGGAGACTAAGAGAAAGGGTGCTGGACAGGGGTCCTAATGGAGCAATGATGTGCAATACAAGACTCTTAATGTCTATTAGCCTCTCTTGCTCAAGCCTACCTCACCTTCACGTGGTGGACCCTGTTCTTCCCAGCAATCCAGTTGAAGGTTGGGGTCTCAACCCCCAGCGGGAAAATGGATGGGACAACAAACGAGGTAAAGGCGAAAGACGAATGGATGAGCCTACTCTCCTCGAGTATGATCACAGTATACCCTAGCAAAACAAGGTGCTGAAGTCAGAGGCAACCAGCCAGGAGGCGTACCACAGCAATCAGGATGCCACGCACACACACAATGGAAATATGTCTAAATCAGCAAATCCAGGAGTGCACCGAATTTGACACATTACGGCAAACCTTTTGGCCAGAAAGAACAACAGTGGAACGTAAGCTCTATGGACCACTGAATGAACTAACAATGACAGTGAAATTTATACAAGAGACAAAACTGCTGATATAGACAACTTATTTCGAAAGAAGAAGAAAAAGAAGATGATGGACAGTGTGACACCATGGCATGGACAATTATCTGCATCAGAGTTAACTGAAAGTACACAAGATAGAAAGTTGTGGATAGATATCACTACCAACGCCACATGGCATAACCCTTAAAAAAAATGCTCTGGGCGTGACCAGGAGATAGCCACGTTAGCACAGTCGACAGGAGGCTCACTTTCCAATCCAGCTGCGACTCGCTGCAGCCATGGTCAGTGTTCAAAACCAGGTGGTTCCCGGGGTTCACCCAGCCTCTAGGAAATGGGTACCAGAGTTGACACTCTAGGGTGAATGGAGGAACATTGCTGTAGCTACGGAGTTACATGCGGACGGTGACACAGGCGGACAGTTTCTCATCAGTTGTCCGTACTGGTGGCAGAGCACTTATGGTTTATAACTGTATGCAGTGACACTGGTTCACATCTCCCAACTTGACCTTTACCTTTTTTTACTCTACATTCATAGGAAAGGCAAGATGGATATACAACCAAACTGCTATTACTGGCACCATCACAACTGGAACTGGAGTGACCACATCCTTTAGAACTCCTATTACTAGTGACAATGATAATGAAGATCATCATCATGTGAAATGTCAATAAGTATGAGTAGTCAGGTTCGTTTCCTCTATAAGCAACAGGAATAGTATCAGCTGCTCTATAATAATAGAACAGCAGTAGTGGTAGTAAAAGTAGTAGAAGCTGCAATATTAATGGTAATAATAGCAGCAGCAGCAACAGCAAATGTAATTGTAATAATAGTAGCAGCAATTGTAATAATAGTAGTAATTGTAATAGTATTAATAGTAGCAGCAGCAATTGTAATGGTAATAGTAGCAAAAAGGAGACACAGTAGTGGCAGTAGCAAAAGTATAAATGAGTCACAAGACTCATTCTTATGAATAATCAGACAAAAAAGATGGCACTATTATGGGACACATCATGAGAAGAAATGATCAGAGTATCATAAACAAGCACTGAGCGAGTGATGTTCAACACTTACCAGGACCATACAATGAGTGAGTGATGTTCAACACTTACCAGGACCATACAATGAGTGAGTGATGTTCAACACTTACCAGGACCATACAATGAGTGAGTGATGTTCAACACTTACCAGGACCATACAATGAGTGAGTAATGTTCAACACTTACCAGGACCGTACAATGAGCGAGTGATGTTCAACACTTACCAGGACCATACAATGAGCGAGTGATGTTCAACACTTACCAGGATCGTACAATGAGTGAGTGATGTTCAACACTTACCAGGACCGTACAATGAGCGAGTGATGTTCAACACTTACCAGGATCATACAATGAGTGAGTGATGTTCAACACTTACCAGGACCATACAATAAGCGAGTGATGTTCAACACTTACCAGGACCATTCAATGAGTGAGTGATGTTCAACCCTTACCAGGACCGTACAATGAGTGAGTGATGTTCAACACTTACCAGGACCATACAATGAGTGAGTGATGTTCAACACTTACCAGGACCATACAATGAGTGAGTGATGTTCAACACTTACCAGGACCGTACAATGAGTGAGCGATGTTCAACACTTACCAGGACCGTACAATGAGCAAGTGATGTTTAACACGTACCAGGACCGTACAATGAGCGAGTGACACCCGGTGACACAAAGTGCCATTATTTGAGGAGAATCCTTGGGACACAAGTCCCAGAAACCCCGTTTAATCATTAGGTTATTAGGGCACCCGACAACAGCTGGGGTTCGGCTTTAAAGTAAAATGTCAACTCTTTTTTTTTCCACTGCAATTGTCGTCATCTTGTTCTTGCTGCTAAAGGAAAGGCTACACTACTTTTCCCAAGGCGATTCATGATCTAATTTCTGCAAAGCATCTTGCATCAATTGTTACGACTGTTCAAAGACAGCTGTATCTTATCTATTGATTTGCTTTTACCATTTACATGTATTAAATTAATTACAATTTGTATTTCTTTCTTCTTGGTCAACTGGTGAGATGAATGAAGAATGAATATTTTCCTTTTTTTTATTATTATAATTTAATTCCAAGCTAAGTACTCACTGTAAACTATTTACTGACACTGAATCCACTAATGACTAATGCTGCAGAGACATTACATATCAAGATTCTTACTTAAATATACTGGTTATTTATATGAAAATTATTATTTTACATCTATCTATGAGTATGACTGATTCATTATTATTCACTGATTCTTTAATTAAGACTATGGTATGGTGATAAAATTAATCATTTTTGAATCATTTCGATTATTTCAATTGAACTCCGGCGTACTTCCCCAATATGTGGCCGTAGTTGCAAGGAGGGCTGATTATTTTATTTTCATAGTAGTTGGCCTGCTGCTTTGCAAAATGGACACTACATGACACAACATGTTATGTTACAGAAGTCAGTAGAAGATAACAATGCCTACTCAAAATCAAAACTTCATTCATTTCATGATTTCTTTTCAGACTTTTCACTTTTCTACTTTCATTTAAATGATTCAATGACTCAAATCAAACATACCTGTGACATCTGAGGACGGGAGCTGAAATCTTTCATATCTATACATCCTGGTTTTAGTGTATTTAACAGGTGACACAACAACACGCCGTCTCTCAACGCTTGCGCTAGATCAAAAGCTGTAGCATCATGTTTGGTGGCTTTATGATCGGCCGGCAATATTTGACATCTGACCAGCCAGTCGACACAATTTCTCCACTCGTCAGCAGCCATCTTGGAATTGCCTTCCTCTTCCGTCGTTACCCACACACACACACACTCACAGAGAAATCAATTAATTCATTGACCCTTTACAGCCTTAACAACGATATCTACAGCTTCATTTCAGCTTATTTTATTCTGTTCTAGTGTTTAAATTCGCATACTGTTTGCTTTTCAACTGTCTGAACGCTATATCCTGATTCTTTACTTGGAAAACTGATGAGTTCATAGCACTATGCAATTGCAAATATGCGAAACTAGGGCTTCGTTGCTTTGGGATGTCCTTCCTGGTACTGGTGTCTATCGCCTTTTTTAACTCTTCAAAGTTGTGAATAGAATCGGTATATAAGGAATGTGAGAAAAGTTCAGTTTATGGATGTCAGCAATTTCAATTGAACTTTTGAAAGGTTTCATTTATAAAACACAATTTTGTTTTATATCGAAGATAACGAAAACAATAACTATATAATACTTAATACAGTGATACTGATTTTATCATATTACACTAAGTATTATTACGAGTGGCCGCAGCAGCTGTAGCAACAGCAGTAGTAGTGTTTGTTTTGTTACATAAATAACAACGGGCCTAATAATGCATCATGTCTGTGGAGTTATAGCTGTGATATAAATCGCCAATGTAAATTTGCTATTTTTGTGTATCATTTAATCATTCTCTTTCGTCATTTATATTGATTGTATTGAAATGGCGAATTAAAGACGGGTGTAAGATGTTGTAGACGAGCTCTGCTACGATATAAAGCTATGTGTAAGTGGGACATGAATGATACAGGTATTGAGGTAGACAACATGCCGTGGACCTTGTTGTATGGAGAAAAGGGCATCAAAATAAAGGAAGAAATTATTGCAAAAAGGATGAGAGCTGAGCGTCTGAGAAGAAACAGACTAAACGCAAATGGTGACAATAACGCAGTGGTCCTGAAATCCCATGCTATAATTGTGGAAGACTTTTATTATCGGGTGGGCCTTGCTAGTCAACACTCGCCATCGCCATGGGCTGTGAGTCCCATGCCTCCCCATAGCGCAATATAACACTATCGTCTGAAAAGACGGAAAGGTGCCAGTCAATCAGTCTTTGAAATCAGCGACTGTTTGGGTTCGAAATTCCGAAGCACTCGATTCCAACTGTGGGTGATTTGGCAGCAGACTGCCTTGCGTTGATTTCGACAGTGGTATCGATAGCTGACATAAAAGTATGAAATGCAAATTTACTGATCGCAAAGTAACTTAAATTATTTTGATTGTCTAATTATTCATAGTACAGTTTATCATAATCAAAACTCAAATCAGAGCAATGAAACCATACAAATTGCATACTTTCCATCAAAATAAATGTGTGTTAAATAAATATAAATTAACAAAATTATACTCTGAAAAAAAATCAGTTAACACTATATTCCCCGATTATAACCCTGAGGGTTCAACAGGATTTTTTTTTTTTTTTTTGAAAAACTACTACTGCTGCTTTACTTGGTGGACAAACAGCCGAAAAAAAAGGTTGTAGCTGGTTCTGCAACGTCCTCTAAAAGATTCGCAACAAACTTTTTCTTTTAATTGAAATCATTGTTCAAAAACTATTTTAGTAAACATATGGTAACGAACATTATGACATTTTTTTTTATTATGTACACATCACCAGCAATCCTAATTATAAGGTGGAAGTTTTGAGTTGAGAGAATCGACTTCACTTCCCTAGATTTATCCAATACGGCTCAGTGTGTCTCCCCAAAACTTCCTATCGCCCGTAGAGGGCTTCAAACAAAGCAGGAACTCCGTAGCTCCTGTTTCGATCCCCAGTGATCACTATAAAAATTGCATCGTGAACCACAAGACGTTGTCCGTGAAACGAACCCACGACCTTCAGAACGTGATTTTTGACCACAGAGACCCCCTCCCCTCCCCCCAACGCGGAAGATGTGAACGTATTAATAATGAATAATGACAATATAAATAACTTAATAGAGTGAAAGAAATTAAAGAATGTATATTTTTCAATAGCAAAAGTATAAACTCCTCTGAAAGTACTGGAGAGTTTTGGGAAATGCCATTCTGGTCTCAAGACTCAGTGAAGGGAAAACCCCAACTGCACCTCCACGCGGTAGAGGACGGTAAACACACTGCGGTGTGGCTAACGCAGCTATGGGGACCGAGTATCTGCAGGGATAAGTGGACACCTCTGGGGTGCCTTCTGCTGTTAGCAGGAGCATCACAGAGCAGGGCACCCACTTGCCCTAGCAATCGAAAAGGTTGCTGAAGGCTGAGGACATGGTCTAAAGCCATGTGGATGTGGAAAGCAACGGGGAACTACCACATTACTATCCCAAGAAACTCATAATGGGACGCCAAAAATGGTGTCCAGTACCACCAACTGTGGACTATTATGAAAAGTATGGGGTTTCCAGCGTATTTAGTGCATTTAATTGAAAATCTCTATCATGAACAACAAGCAGCCATCAGAGCAGCTGGTGAAACATCTAATTGGTTCGAGGTGCAAAAGGGGGTGAGGCAAGGGTGCATTCTCTCACCATACCTATTTAATATATACGCAGAAAATATAATGAGAAATGTCAGAAATGACCAGACTTGTGACAGTTATGATCCTGTCAAAATTGGTGGCAACCCTATTCCGGAACTCCGCTACGCAGATGACACAGTCCTCCTTTCGAACAGCATAAAGGGAATAGAAAATTTAATATTGTCCGTCCAAAAGCACAGTGAAGATCAAAATCTGTTCTTGAATTTAAAGAAAACGAAAATAATGTCCACAGATAAAACTGGCTGTCACCAAAAAATAACAATAAATGGTGAAGAAATTGAAAATGTCACAAACTTTGAGTATCTAGGCTCTATAATAAACAACAATGGAGACTGTTCGACAGAAATTAAAAGTAGGATGGCCATAGCAATGCAAAGATTGAACAGCCTTAAAAGTCTATGGTTAAGCACCAGCAAGGAGATAAAATTAGAATTTTGAGAGCAAGCATCTTCTCTGTGGCAACATACGGATGTGAGTCGTGGACTATCTCTCAATCCTTAAGAAAGTGAATAGGGGCTTTTGAGCTGAAATGCTACAGAAAGATTCTCAGAATATCTAGGACAAAGAAGATGAGAAATATTGACATCTTAAAAGATCTGAACATCAAGGAAGATTGGCTAATAAACAGCATCCTTTCTCGAAAGCTGAAATATTTTGGTCATATCAAGCGCCACGACGGATTGGAAAAAATTATAGCAGAAGGCATGGTACCAGGAGGGGCAGGAGCCGACCGACACGAAGATGGACACAGGATATAAGTGACTCCTTGAGTGTGAAAGTTCATGAGGCGGGAGAACTGGCAAGAGACCGAGTTTCTTACAGGCACACTGTGATGAGAGCGACGTTCTGCAAAGGACCTGCTACATGATAATGATGAAAAGTATAAAGTTGCAGTGGGCACTGTTTTCCCAAGTGTAACTCGAAGGGTTAAACATGAGATTGTTTACATAAGAACAACAAAGGTATGAATACTTAATGTTACAGAATCAAACTCTGGAGTCCTTAGTTTTGCATCAGCACTATCCGGTGTTTATATCCTGGCAAAATATCCAATTTAGATTTACGCGCGATCGCTTGTGTGTGTGGGTGGGAGGGGGGGGTGGCTCGCGCGCACGTGTGTACGTGTGTGTATGAGTGTGTGTGTGTTCATATGCTGAAACATAAAAGTTTAAGTTAACACTATTGTAATCAGCTATTCAAAATATGTTATCTGTCTTCCTGATACAATATAAATAACTACAATTTGCAGATGACACCGTCTTGATTGTAATTAGTCATCCCCTTGTGAGATGCAATTTTTTGTTATTTGAAGCCCCACACTGGTCTTTCCAGGGGCCTCAATATAGCCTGAACATAAATATGGTTTAATGGCTGAACGAAATTCCTTGGACCTCTCCACGAGTGATCCTCATCCAAATGGTGGCACTTTGTGTCATCGGGTGTTTATCGCTTGTGTGATGTCCTGGTGAGGTAAAAATCTACTACTACTACTTGACTGTAAACGGCGTCCCAATATCGGACGCAATATTGTTGTTGTTGGCTGTTGCTGGGGCCCCTAATATAACACAACCGATGATTTGAAAGGGGCTTTTGGTACCTGTCCTCGGGTGATCCTCATCCGAATGATGACACTTTGTGTCACCGGGTGTTTTTCGCTCACTTTGATGTCCTGGTGAGGTATAATATAAGTCAGTCTTGATGGCAGCAAGTCTGAAGGAAGCACAGAGAAGGATGTATACAGTGGTTGTATCTTTACGCCATTATGTAGACAGTGTTGCTCAACACTTGTATATCCGCGGCCCATCAAAATGGGGACAACTGTTTCTTGATCCATTTGACAGCTAATCACAGAAACAAGAACTTTCCCCTAAAGATAAAATCAAGGAGAATCTTCTTCTTCTTCTTCTTCTTCTTCTTCTTCTTCTTCTTCTTCTTCTTCTTCTTCTTCTCTTCTTCTTCTTCTTCTTCTTTCGTTCACTTGAAATAGATTGTCTATATCTGCAATGTTGTAGTTCACTCAGCGACTCGTGAAGTTAGTTTGCAGCGGTGTTTTCTTGGCCAAAAGTTTTGTTTTGATATGTTGTATTTGAGAAAGTCTTGGAGGACGTGTTCTGTTGACTCAGGTGCTAATCCACATGTGCACGTAGCTGATTTGCTAATCTTAAATTGTGTGTACATGTGGCTGCGAAGTCGAATTGTCTTGCTCTAAGACGTAGAATAATGACTTTCTCTGGTCTGTCTATTATATGGTAATAGTCTTGTGCCAGTTTTGGTGGCGTTCTGATTGATTTGATTATTCACCTCTTCTCTTGATAACAAACTGTTAACGTCAGGGTGTTCTTCAGTTGCACCTTCCTTAGCTAGTTTATTGGCTCTGTCATTTCCGGGAAGTCCACAGTGGGATGGTATCCATTGCATAGTTATCTTACACCGGAGAATAATATATGATTGTACGCTAATAAATTAATATATC